TGTTAAGTTGGTAACAGCTGGTGTTCTTTTCTTGCTGACTGATCTCTGCTCATGCTAACAAATGGGGCTTCAACTAATGATTGCTTTCATCACAGATTACTCCACAATTTACAATTATTGAAGACATATTTAGTCTTTAACGTCAGAAAATGAAGAAAAATTTTATATAAATATACATTTTTAAATATTTTGTCATTGATTGGTTTCTTTTTGATTGACTACAGGTTCCAGCACCAGAGCCCAGGTCCTCTTCTATTAATTCAAACAAACCACAAGCAAGTTACACCACTTCCTGTGCAGGGGGGATAAATAAAAGAGCTAATGTAGAATCTGCGGCGAGTTGGCTAATTCATGGGAGGGGGAGGAGAGAGAGAGTCTGTGCAAGTTACTGATGTTAAGTACATGTTACACTACAGTACACATCAGATTAATACAGTAATTAAACACTATAGAGAAAGAGGAGACGCAATCACAGTGTTTGTGTGACACACTGACTTTTAACTAACAACTAAAGGCTCAGCTTAGTGAGTGCAAACACTGCATTACCCTGTGGCTATCATTCCCCTGTAAATGACTGTGTGTGTGTGTGTGTGTGTGTGTGTGTGTGTGTGTGTGTGTGAGTGTGTTTCACCAACAGTTTAGAGTTTAGTCGACTAATAAAACCACTATTTATTGCTGTGGGCAGTTCTCAGCTAGTCCTGGATAATCAGATATTAGCCAGAATAATTAGATTATACAGTAGTTAATGTGTAAAACACCAATGCTTGTATAGTATTTACATAGTTTTTACAACATTTCTTCAGCTTTTATTGTGAAACAACCACAGAAAGCACTAAAAAGGCTAGTGAGGGTTGCTAACGAATGGTTGATTTGTCACTCTGTAGTTAGTCTTAAATGTACATAAAAAGCATTTTTCGGCACTGCTTGATTTAAAACATTTTCTTGATTAAAAGAGATCACAACTCTGACATAGCATGATATACAGTAGGACAGCAGATCAGCACATGAGGACTGACAAGAAATAACGTCTGCCCAAGAGAGGTTTGGATGGACACATGGGTGCTGTGGTTGGATGTAGGGCAGAAGCTTTAGGTTCCTACGTGTAATCAAGATTAACTGTAATGTCTCTTCCTGCATAAGCCTGTCCTGTGGATTTAATGTTACAACCATTGACATATATAAAGATGGACGACATAACAGCTCTCCAAAAGTTAAGCCAAAACATCTGGATCGCCCTCCGGTGGCTGACTGCAGTATAGGTCATAAAGCCTGTCTCCTCAGTCAATCCTACATGATGTAACTGATACATGTACAAGATGTTATGGGATCAGTCTAGTGTGTGTTCTCTTTTAAGGTTGTCAAAAGTATTGATACTTTTTCGATACCATGTGTTTAAAACAATACCATCTCCGTTAATAATATATTTGCTATTTTTTTATACTAATATTGTATTGAAGTTCTAAATTCTGCTATTGTGAACACATTACTCTCTTGTACATCTACTTTTCTGAGGTTCAACCTTCACCGTAAGGACAGTTTTTGAGTGTGAGGACATTTTGTCTGTGTGTCTGATGTCAGTGATGGTCCTCACATGGATAGGAACACAAACATATGTGTTTGTGATGGCAGTGGGGAGGGGGCGTCTGTGGAATTAGCAAAGCATCTTTTTAAAACAAAATGAATCTGTTAATCATTGAATGTATCAGTAGGGTTATTGATCAGGCTCCTCCCTCAGCCTGACGTCCAGCAGCAGGTTCCTCCATCATGGTTGTCGGTGTGTTACCTTACTGTGCCATAGTGTGTGTGTGTGTGTGTGTGATTGCATCATGTTGTGTGATGGGCTGACAGTCCTTGCATCGGTCCCTCCTTGTCACAAACACACACACACACACACACACACACATGCATGCATGCGTTCCTATTGCACTCGCATACATACCAGTACATCCAATTACTGAAACTAGGATATGGTTGGCATAACATAATGAACAGCCATTTTTCACCTGCCTAACTGGTGCCGCACTGTTCACACCATCTCATTCCACACTCTCATTCACTCTCAGGCGAAGCCGGTGGAGGAGCATATTCTCTCTGTACAGAGTTCAACCTCCACCTGTGGGATGGGTAATTTTTGTCCAAATTATAACCAATATGAGATATTTAATGACACTAACCTTTGATCTCTGACATGTCGTGCTGAAACTAACCCTTATCTTTATTATCGATAAATCTGTCTATCGTTTTCTCGATTAATCGATTAGTTGTTTGGTCTATAAAATGTCCCAAAACGGTGAAAAATGGCTCCTTAAAGCCCAAGGTGACATTCCCAAATGTCTTTTTTGTTCACAACCCAAAGATATACATTTTACTATGAAAGAGGACTAAAAAAGAAATTTGAAACATTTGAGAAGCTGAAATCAAATAGTTTTCTTTAAAAAATGACTTAAAATGATTAATTGGAGTATCAAAATAGTTGGTAATTAATTTAACAAATCAGTTAATCAATTAGTCATTGATTGATTGAACTGCTCACAGCTCTGAAACATATGCAACCTAGGATATGGGATTATAAGGAGGCATTGCTTTGCTTTGAGTAGTCATAAGCCAAAAAGGTTGGAATCAGTGTTTTAGAGCAGCAGTTCAGCAACCTGGTGATAGTGACTCTTTCTGAGAGTCGCTGGATGGGGGTGAGATGATTAACAGGATAGGAAATAAGTAAAAAAAAATCTATTTCTAATGAATCATCAAATAATTTTAATTAGGCCCCTAAAAATCATTCATGTAAATAAATCAGCCTGAGAATAATATAATATGGTAATGGTAATATGGTATGGAATGATACAATAAGACTAGCAAGTAGACTTTGTTTCCTCTGAACGGGTCAAGACCCAAAGGTTTGGGGAACCCCTGTTCTAGAAAAGTGGTTTCCTTTTCAGCTTGTGACACAAAGTTAAGTCTACTCACAGCCGCCAGTCACAGGTCGCATACGTCAGTGAGTAGATTTATGCTTCTTAGATTTATTTGATTTATTTGAAGCCAAAAGAGGTAAAATTATCCAGTATTTTGCAACAATGAAGCCAAAAAGGCAGAAGCATATTTTGTTTTTCTTTATTCCTTTTCCTTCAAATTGATCTTGGAGCCCCTTGGGGCCCCTAGTTAGGGAACCACTGTTCTAGAGGCAATTTGTAATATTGGGTGAACTGTCCCTTTAAAATGAGGCAGGAACATCAGAATCTTCTCAGCTTCATCCCAGTCAGACATCAGCAGGCAGTGCCATTATTATCTATTGTTATCTATTGTTGATCAGTTTAACTGATCATTGAGCTTCAACTATTGGCCAATTAATCAATTAGCTGTCAATTATTAACCAACTATTAAACTGATCTAATTAGATAAAAATGTGATTAAAAAATGTCTCAGTTTTTTAGCTTATCAAATGTGAATATTTTCTGGTTTCTTTAGTCCTCTGTGACAGTAAACTGTATATCTTTGGTATATCAAAAAAAACAAGACATTTGAGGATGTCACTGTGAGCTCTGGGAAACACAGATCAACATTTCTCACAATTTCTTGCCATTTTATTGACCAAACAACTAATCGATTAATCAAGAAAATGACTAACGGATTAACTGATAATGAAAGCAATCATTGCAGCCCTAGCTGTGACAGTAGCCTGCATGTATAAAATATGCTTTTCCTCCACGGGCTGCATGGCTACAAACCACTGTAGAGGAAAGTAACTGGGGTAAGCTGACCCTTTTAATTCAATATTGGATGCTGGCCAAAGAGGTGGAAAGAGACGGTTCAGTTCTTGAAAAGCCAAACTCCAAACTGCGATCTACAGGAGGACAGGTCCCAGAGGATTCCTTGTCTCACTGCATCACTGTCGCCTCTGATCTGAACCAATCAAATACACAAACCTATAGTCGTGTGACCTCTCTTTTGCGGTCCATGACAGACAAATTTAACTGGTTCTCTGAGATAAAGAGACAGTTATTCAGTCAGTTATGGACAATCTGATCAGTTTTTATGGATGAATTGCTCCCTGTGTGTTTAGCTCCCGGTGCAGACTGCTTCTTGACACTTTGTAATGAGGAAACACATCACTGATAAAATATGGCTCTGTTCCTGCTCTGCTCGGCTGCTCCTGTTTTCTGTTATCTTTTTATTTATTGCCTCGTGCGTGATTGTTTCTCCGGGTCAACTTCAGAGGTCTTACATCTTTACCAAACCATCAGTGTGAGCCTCTTCTTGTTCATTTTGTTTATCTTGTCTACATTTCAGTGACATGTCAGTCACTTTCCCTCCTATAACCGGTCTCAGACAGCTTTCAGTTTACCAATTCAGGTCTCATTCTCATGCCTCAAAAAAAAAAAAGACCTGTTCTGTATTCATGGAGCCAAAGTGCCAGAACGGATCCTTCAGTAATTACAGGAACCTCTCATTCTCTTGCATCCTGAAAAGTCACTCTTCAGTGGCAGTTCAATTTCCCATGCAGCAGCAGCGGCGGCGGCAGTATCCCAGGTCCGGCGGGCAGGTATCAAAGCCCCTCTCAGCTGCTCTAACTGTTTACAATGACGCATCGATCCGCTCTGCTTAATCCCCCCGGCAGCTCAGTGAGTTAAAGCAACAGTTACAGCCACCACACACACCTACAACAGGCACAAAAGCCAAACACAGCGTGCTGTCTGATCCCACCGACAAGCATCCTGTCGAGTGCTGCTTTTGATCTGATCCTCTGCGCTCTGATAATTCCTCTATTGACAGTTAGAAGAGAGGAGGAGGAGGAAGAAGAGGGAAGGGGGGGATGCTACTTAAAAACTACTAAACACAATAAAAAGAAGCAGAAAGCATTCTCATACTGGATCACATTCAGTTTTTAAAGTGAAAAAGAGCATTTGAGGGCAAATTCGACCTTTAACCATAAGCAGATAAACAATCAGTGAAGTGATGATACATGTAAGTGCGGCATTAAGTGGTAGAGGAAGGTGATCCGTTACCTGTGTTGGCAATCCACATCCAGCCCTGGCTCGTCACCACTCATCCCGTGTCCGCAGCTTCAGCTGTCCTGGTCCCGTTTTTATTTTTTTCCTCCTTTCTCTTCCTTCTTTCTCTCCCCTTTGGCCCTCTTCTTCTCTTCCTCTCCCTCCCTCGTCCTCTCCGTCCTCCTTTCCTCTTCCTCTCCCTGCACTTGTTTGAGTCTATTTCAGTGGCAGCAACAGAGGAGCCCGCTGCGACGGTGGCATGGTTTCCAGCACTTTGGCAGAAGGTCACATTATCACTCGCTGGTAAAAAGGGGGGAGGGAAGAAGAGGAGGAGGAGGAGGAGGAGGAGGAGGAGGATGAACGGAGTGATGGAGGGAGATCGAAGTGAGCAGGTGCCGGAGGAGGAGGAGGGGGTGGGAAAGGGAGAAAGAAAACAAATTTACAAATCGCGACTGTCCACAGTTTCACTTGTGCTCTCGGCTAAATGTTCCAGGTGAGAATGAAAGTTGAGACGGCTACCTCAAAAGAGGGTTTTCCGATAAGATGTCCCAGAATGCTTTGAGGAGAAACCTTCGAGCGTGCATATTTGTGTGTAAAGCAGTTGCCTTTTTAAGGTCTTCAGCAGCTGCTCACCTCTGGGGAAAAGATAATTCCTCTCTTGGCTGGAGAATGAGACTTCAGAAAAGCTCCGAAAGCTGCCAGAAACTTACACCATGTCATATATCAGCGCAAAACAAATCCTCAATATTCACTCCTGTCCTTCCCCGTCACTGCCCGCTTCATAAAGACACAGATGTACTCCATCTTTGAGACACCTGTCCACACTGTGAGTCCCATCTATCACAGATTCCGCAGGGTGACCCTTGTCTTCATTTCACAGCCTCTATTCTTCCGCCTCCTCTGGCACTCTTGTGGTCGCTCCATCAAAATAAGACTCGAAGATATGATCCAACTGCCCGGGACGAGGATGTCGGCGGCCGGCGACAGATGGCTGGGGCAGGGGGACAGATGCGAGTTTGCCGCTGGAGTTTGTATCTTTTAAAATGTCTGTCTTTGCTTGGATCTGCCCCCTGCCTCCCCTTGAAACACACCTTGTTTGTTCTAGCCTTCAGTTAAATACACTTGTTGTCCTGTTTGTCTTTTTTTTTTCCCTTTCCTACCTGAGCCCCTCCTTCCCCCATCAGCAGAGCTTTCACTCTGGCTTCACTGGCCGGCTGTAATCCTGATTCCTACACTCTGTGTCACAGGAAGGGCTTGTGAGCTCTAATCATTATGTAGTAAGGATTTATCCTCTCATTCTCCCTCCCTCCTCTCTGCTTCCCTCCCTCCACCCATCCCGTTTATTTCCCTCCCTCTGCTGTTGGAGCGCCGGCCGCCTTACAACTCTCAACATACTACAGCCTCTTTTTCAACCATCCCAGTATAATGCATCATCTCTCCTCACTCTTGCGCGACACTCGTTCATTGTCAGCTCGTTCTGTTTTATATTTTGCCGTATCCCGCTCCGCTCCGTGCCTTGTCTGTCTTGCTGCAGCTCACATCAACAGGTTTGTCCTTCAAATGTTCTCTGGGACAAACACAGTCAGTGCTCGCTTTTTCCTCCCTATCTTTGTGATTTATCTCTTGAAACATGAGCTGTATGTGTCTGTGTACATACAGTCTGCATTAATGTCTGTGTATGCATGTGCAGTCTTTATATACTGTGCTGTATGTGTGTATAACCATATGCAAGCATACATTAGAGCCTGAGGACTGGCCGATCTTAGCTCATCCAAGATCAGTATCAGCTTACATGTTGGCCGATGTGGAACAAGCAATCTCAGTACTGGAATACCCAAGAATTTGTTTGAGGAAGAGACTGTGCTGCCATACTATACTTTGTCCACCAGAGAGCACAGACAGTTTGTCCCGCTCAGTAATTTGCCAAAAATATGTGGACAATAATTTAAAAACTAGGGGCATTATTCTGCCTCTCCAACAACCTCCACTCCTCTGGTTTCAGGTTTACCAGCAGACTTTGGAACCTGGCTGCAGGAATTTTCTCCCATTCAGCCAAAAGAGAATTAGTGAGGTCCAGCACTGATACAGGGTGATCAGTTCTGGCATCATCTGTTGAAACAGGAAAGCATCTTTTGTTGGCACAAAGCTGCAAGTTCTAGGCAAACTATCCGTCTAAAATATCATTGTATGATGTAGCTAATGTATGCATGTAATTGTATGACGAGATTTCCTTTCATTAGAACTAAGAGGCCCAAAACAGGAAAAACAGTCCAAGACCAAAAGTACATAAAGGTGTGTGGGCTGTCCAAATACTTTTGGCCATATATTGTTCAGCTGTATGTATCTCATCAGTGTAAATGCTGATAAAAGAGTAGTAAGATATTGCAGTACAGAAATGAAGACGATTTCAGGTAAATTTAAACAACTTTAACAACAGTACAATGTCAGTTTCTCCAGTGTATATTATTTTGTGTAATTTATTAATTGCCTGTGTTTTCTCCTTATGTGAGGGAGCTACGTCCCATTTCAAATTCCATCGGGGCGGATAGGAAATAGTTAAAATCCTGAATCAATACGAATGCAGCAGTAGTTTTATGTTTGCCTTTGGGGGTAAAGGGGGTAACTTGAGAGTACATTAGTATACTTAATTGGGCCTTTTTAGGTAAAACTTAAAAATAAGAATGTCTATTTTTGTCGTCTTGTTTCGGGAGCATAATGAATTATTTGGTTTCAAGAGTCCATAAGCTGCTTGGCTTCATAACTGCAGGACCCGAGCCAAATACCTGAAATTGGTGGATTTCCAGCTGCAGTTTTTTATTAATTGGAAGATCTTTCGGTTCCATTTTTGTTTTGCTGTCCACAAAAATATGTTTCAAAATATGAAATGGAATGTTATATTCACAGGTATGTTTTCATTAGTGTATAATGACCAGAAAATGATGCACTTATATGCATGGAAGGGGAGGGTGAGCCAAGCGGTATTCAGTTGGTTGCACTATGAAGCTTGACCTCTAGTGCTAATAGAAAAACTTTGACTTTTGGGGTTTTTGTCAGGTATTTGGGTCTTGGAAGTGCATTTTGTTACAACTTCAGATACTTTGGACTTGCTGTAACTCAGGCGGTAGATCAGGTTGTCCATTTATCAGAAGGTTGGTGGTTTGATCCGCAACTCCTTGACACTTAACCCCAAATTGCTCCCAATGCTGTGCAGCCGTGTATGAATGTCAGTTTCTGTTTGTGATGTATGAATGTGTAACTACATAAGGGACATTATTTCAACCTTAAATGTCAAGTTTATTTTTTCATATGTATTTATGTATCATAAAAAAACACTGAATGAATTCAAAAATAGACTTTTTATTCGACAGCAGCCATTTAACATGAAATAGGAAGGCAATCAGAGATGTAATCAATAATACTAATTAAGATTCTGTTCCATTCGGTGCAGCAGAGCCTCTCCAGTGAACCAACATGCACAATAGCAGCACCCTGACTCTGTTTGATCTGAATGGAATGGAACCTTAATTAGCCTCATTGCTAACACCTGTGTTTACTCTACTATTTTAGGTCAAAATGGTTGCTGTGAAAAAGGTCTATTCCTCGTAGGTCAGGTACTGTGTTGGGGGGTCTGATAGGTGGAGCAATTGTGTGTTCTCTCTTTAGCAGCTTCTTTCCAGGTATCAGCTGTGTGTCCTGCATCCCATTAACATTTACTTTGATAATTTTCCATCAAGCTCACAGCATGCACACACAGGATGTAGTGATAGTTGACTACTATTTTTAAGATGATGCTCATCTTTATGACAAAAACCTTCAGTAACAATTAACTGAAGAACTCACTGAAGGAACCTCCTACATGCTGGACATGGTTATTGTTCTTGCACAGTGATCCCTGGATAGTCTGTCCATTGCGACGGTGTGAGAATACAACAGCTTTGACTTTGGCTGACCTTGGTCATCATCCAACAAATGTTCCCTGCGTTTTTAACTGGCCTCCTCGTGCAGCAGAACCTCAGTGCTGTTGTCTAGGATGTGTAAAGTTGAATTTTGAAAGGTCACGCTGGTATTCAGGACATGAAACAGCACTGAGACAGACTTGACTTTAACATGCCAGTGCAGGCTGTCTGCAGGTGACTCATGTCTGTCTCTTCTCCTCTCAAACTCACCACAAACCCGCTGCCTGAAGCTATATAGCTCCACTTTCCTGTTTGGGTCAGGACATGATCCCCCCCTACAGTTCAAAGGAGAGAAATACACCTGCTTATTTGCACGACAAATTACTGTTCAAAAAACACCATTATTCGTGCTTTCTAATGCACTTTAAATTAATTCTTTACACTTTAGTATTTTAGCCTACGCCACTTTTGCACTTCAGCTACACTTTACACAGGAAAAGGCAGAGCCGTATGTACTTCCTGAGAAGGCTGGGGTCCTTCAACATCTGCAAAAATTATATATATATATAATACTTTATATTTTATCTTTTATTTTATTTTTAATTCTATTCTTAAGGTTTTTAATTTTAGTCTAATGTATGTTTAATGTATGTTTTGTATTTTGTATGCTACTGGATACTTGAATTTCCCTCGGGATAAATAAAGTATCTATCTATCTATCTATCTATCTATCTATCTATCTATCTATCTATCTATCTATCTAGCTGAGACTGTACATAAGCACGAATCATTTTGCTAGCACCCATTTATGCACTTCCAGGTCACATTTGCATATATCACATTGCCAGGCTGCAAACAATCTCCCTCAGAAAAACAATTGCAAACTGTAGCAGGGCACAAAAAGCCATTAATCTTAATTTTTCCCCTCTGTGGATGAATCCCTCGAAAAATGAATCCATTCTCCTGGGCAGGAGGACATCAGTGGGATTTTATGAGGCTGTCAGGACGGCACTGAGAGATGTGTCAGCAAGGCCGAATTTGTTTCTCTGCGGCCGACGGTGGAGGCTGGGCAGCGTGACCCCGATCGATCGCCGTACCATAATAAATGTCCACGAAACCCCTGCTTGTGATCAACAGCATATAGAGTTGGCTTTCCTCGATCGATAGGTGATCGATAAGGCTAACAGATGGGACTGTAAAGCAAGAGATAATTACGTGTTGGGTGGCTTTTCAGGTTTGTGCTTGTTGTAAAAGAACAGAAACAGCTGCAGGGTGTCAGCCGGGCACATGATACCCTAACACACTGATCTATGGTTAATACTGCAACATACCCGTCCTTCCATCACTTTGAGAAGTCACTACCAATGGTAATGTTGCCAATGGTCATTCTGTAGAAATATGTGGACAACACGAAACCCGGGCAGATTGACCTTTTTAAAAAGTAATTTAAAGCTTTGCATCGAATAGAATGTCATGATTTTACACTTCTAGTCAAACAAAGATTAAAAAGAACTACTCTTTGAATAATTGCACACCTTCCACTAACATTACTGACATTTACAAGCACGCAGATATCTCTTAATAAAGACTTCCTTACATCTCCTAATAACCCCACAGTACAAAGCCACTGTATGTGGTTGAGTTTTAATGTGAGCATAACATCTTTTACTTTTTTCTGATGCTGTAAGTTTTTGTTTGTCGAAAAAGACATGACACTTCCACTTCCTACACATAGAGTCTTTAAATACACCTTAAAGGACCAGTGTCTAGGATTTAATGGCATCTAGTGGTGAAGTTTCAGATTGCAGCTAACTGAACACCACTCGCGTCCGTAACTGACAGTCTGGGAATGAGAGTGGGCTGTAGGTGTAGGAGAAACCATGGTGACTGCAAACTACTGTAGAGACATGGCAGTTTAACATGGAAGGTAACGAAAACACAACAATTCTTTTTTTCACCACTAAAAACATAACTATGATATTCCATGTCTGTGTATATGTACTTACTTTTACCTCTGTGTTTCCATGATGGCTACCCCTTGTATCATGTGTTCATAGTGTTGGTTGTGTGCAACCTCAATTCAAGTTCTTTATATTGTCATATGCACAGCAATTACAGTGAAGCCAGCAATTCAATTTTTAATTCCCAGGCTCCCTCCAACAATGCTCCAACAATATGTATGAAAAGAAAATCATGCACATTAAAGAGAGTACAATTTAAATATAGGAATATAATATATATTAAATAAGATATAACACTATAAAGAAACTATTTTGTAATTATTCTGTAATTCCAGTGTTGAGCAGGCAAGTGTGAACGCTTTCAGGACTTTTGTTTAAAAAGTATATAAGAACTTTAAT